CAAAGGTTGTCGAGGAGGAGATGAGGAGCATGCTTGATGACGACCCAGAACTGGTCTCAGAAGAGATCGAGATCTTGGCCAGGCTGAAAAAGATGCTGAATGCGGCAGAAGGAGGAGAGGACGACGAGGTGTTGCAGACTCGCATCATCTCACCTCAAGAAGTATCAAAAAGATGGAGTGAGTGGCTCCCAGCCATAGAAGCGGAAGTCAACTCCCTCTTGCAAGAAAAGGAAGCTATGGAGGAGATCAGTGGGAGCAGACTGAAAGAGCTGCTTCATGAAGCAGAGGAGAATGGCGTGGCTGTGGAGTTTTTGCCTTCAAAGTTGGTGTTCACGAAGAAGCCTGGAAAGAAGGGCGGTCGGCCCAAAGTAAGGTGGGTCATCTGCGGAAACTTTGAACAGAAACGAGATGACGAGTCCACCTACTCTAGCGGGGCGGATGCTGCTGCTTTGAGGCTTCTCCTGGTCACTTCATCGAGGATGCAGTGGACAGCCGGCACCATCGATGTGAAGACAGCATTTTTGAATGCTGTCATGGATCAGCAGGGCCAAAAGACTTTGCTCCTCGTCAAGCCTCCACAATTGTTTCTGGAAAAAGGCTACATGAAGCTTGGCACCTACTACCTCCCCAAAAGGGCAGTCTACGGCTTGCGACGCTCTCCAAAGCTTTGGGGTGAATGCCGAGACGAAGGCCTGGAGTCGATGGAGATAGAAGTGGAGGAAGAGACTGGTCAAAAAGTCCTCTTGGAGCTGCTTCCTCTTGAATCAGAACCCAACTTGTGGAGAATTCAGTCGAAAGAGGACTCAGAATTGGAGAACGAAGATTCTGCTCCGCTGCCATTGAGAGGTCTTCTGATGACTTATGTCGATGACATTTTGGTCACCGGCAGTTCTGCAGTAGTCCAAGCTGTCATGGAGAAAATCAGAAGCACGTGGACGACTACGGAACCAGATCAAGTGAATGAAGTGCCCATCAAGTTCCTAGGAGTGGAGATCTCGAAGGTGTTTGATGAAAAGAAGGGTCGAGACTTATGGTATATGAGTCAAAGCTCATACATACAAGACCTTCTGGCTCAAAGCGAGAAGGAAATTTCCGAGAAGAAGGTCCCCATCACCAGGGATCAGGGCCAACTTCCAGATCAGGAGGAACACCGTACTCCTGAACTCGTCAAGCTTGCTCAGAAAGCAACAGGTGAGATGCTTTGGCTTGTCACTCGCACCCGCATTGACCTGATGTATGCGGTCTCAAAGATGGGATCAAATGTAACCAAGTCACCAAGGAAGGTCCTTCAGATCTATGAGCAGATCAAGGGCTACCTCAAAAAGACCGTTTATCATGGTCTATGCTTTGACGGAGCTGCGCCTGAGATGATGATGATTGAGGCCATGGCAGACGCAAGTTTTGCGCCTGATGGTGATGTAAGCCATGGAGCCTTCATCATCGAAGTCGGCCAATGCCCAGTTTTCTGGAGGAGTGGGCGTCAAAGCTTTGTCACACTGTCCACTGCAGAGGCTGAGATGATGGAAGTTATAGAGAGCATGGTAGCAGGTGAAAGTATAGGTGCCATAGCTGATGAGCTGTTTGGATCTCTCTCTCGCAAAAGCTGGACCGATTCACAATCTGCCCTGGCGATTTTGACCACAGATGGCGGCTCTTGGAGGACGCGACACCTCCGTCTGAGAGCTGCAGCAGCGAGACATTCCATTGCTCAAGGAATGTGGGTGATCCAGCATATGGCTGGGTCGAAAATGACGGCAGACATCGGCACGAAACCGCTTGCTTCAGAAAGACTCAAGCAGCTCAAGGAAGAAATGCACATGGTAGAAGTTCCCCATGCGAAAGTGGAGAATGTGAACCACGCTCCGCTACCATTGCAGAAAAAACCCGGGGAATTGAAAGAAAGATTCAGTGGAGAAGAGGAGATTAAGAAAGCAGCGTCAATTGTGAGGCTGCTCACCCTTGCGGCCGTTCTTTCGGTTGCGAAGAGCGAGGATGAAGATGAAGATTGGTCAGAAGATGGCCACAGCCAAGAGTTTACAGCCATGATGGTGATCTTTGCTCTGGTCATCGTGGCTGTTACTCTGTTGTGTCAAAAATTCTGGGTTCTGCTGCGAAGCCAGTTGCACCTGAATAATCAGAATACCAAAGGGAAAGAAGAAAAGGGAAAAGACGGTGACGCCGTGGCCCCTGCAGAGGATGTGCAGGGACCCATTCGGCTCCCGCCAGGTGGTGAGGCCGTGGCCCCTGCGGAGGAATTGCAGGGACCCATTCGGCTCCCACCAGTGGGCACGGCACGGGTTGAGACATCATCTCCCCAGCTGCCTCCACAAGTGGATGTGGCCCAGGTTGAGCAGACAGCTCCTTCGGTCTTCCCACAAGATGAGATATCGTCGATCTCCTCATCTGGAAGCAGTCCGCCATATCGCCCCGTTGATGAAAGACACATCCCAGATTTCGATGTGGAAAGAGCATTAGAAGAGATCGCATCGGAAGAAGCAGAACTATATGAGGAAGCGCGAGAAAATCCAAATCAATTCCAGAATGATCAACATGGTCCTGAAGTCTCCCAGCCATTTTTCCAGGTATGGACTACCAGATTTGGGGTTGTGTACCACCATCGACGCAACTGCAGGTACCTAACCTCATCTCAAACTGGAGCCTGCAGAGAATCGACATGGTGCTGGCTCTGTTGGGCCATTAGCTTGAGAACAAGGGGACGACCCCCTCCTGGTGTTGAACTCTGGATTAATGCATGGGGCCACGATTATCATGTGGACCCAAGATGCCCTCGCTGCGACCCTCAAAAGACTTTTCGAGCGTGCCAGAATTGTGAAGAAAACATCGCAGGCTAATTCACACATTTCCCACTGAAAAAAGGCAGTTTGGGCCTTGAACAGTTGGAATAGTCTGACGACATTCCAAAGGAGGAGTGCAGAAGAGCACTTCCCATTTTGCATAGAGCGTTTTCCATTTTGCATTGATGCAACTTGAAAGTCTTGCAGACTTGAAGCACATTCCAATCTCATTTTTCACATTTAAGTCGATTGATCAGCTGCCTTTTGAAGCTTCAAATCCAATCGCCATCGTGAAGAAAGGCGTGAGGTGCGAACTGAGGAGGTGGGAAATAGGTTGTGGCTCCTGCACAAAAGCACAAACAATAATCTGATGGTTCGTTCTCTCAACGGGGGGGGAAATCCCACAATGGCAACTTCAAATCTCGTTTTCTGATGGTGATACTGTGCTGCACGTGCCCATGACTTTAAACAGAATCATCCAAAACATGTGCCCAGCGTGGCACCCAGGGACCCCAAAAACTCGCTGCATAACAGAGCCTATTTTGTGGTGATATTCACTTACATAGGCCTAAAAAATAGGCCTTATATATGGTAGGTACCTCCATTTTAGGATCCTGAAATTCCCATTGACTAATGAATCATCCCATCTGAGACCGAAAGTTGCATCTTGTCTACTGGGAAATCAAATTCCAAAACGGGGTCAAATTATGTAAAATGTCAATCATTCTTGGAAGAATCACCCTTCCTGGTGGAGGTGTTGCAAAATGTAAAAAATCACCAGCAGTTCAATACATAGTGGCTATACATAGTACCATAGTGGCTATACATAGTGGCTATACATAGTGGCTATACATAGTGGCTATATAATGGCTGTTATATTAACCTCTATGATCTATGAAAATGGCCGGAGAACCATCCAGGGGCCTGCGCCACCAACTACCTTGAAAGTCTAAGTGCCACAGGATAACCCTACCATTTGAGGATGGTAAAAATAGCACCCTTTGTTCAATCGTGATTTGGGGGATGGCTTATGACATTAAACACACACACACACTATATATATGTATGTATGTATGTATGTATGTATGTATGTATGTATGTATGTATGTATGTATGTATGTATGTATGTATGTATGTATGTATGTATGTATATATAATATGTAGATATATATATATATATACATACGTGTATATATATAATTGAATATACGTATGTATATATATAATGCTATGTCTTAAAATTCAGAGTACCTAAATCTCTAGGATGGAGGGGTTTCAAAATAATTTTTTTATGATTTATCTATGATTTGAATACGATTTCCATTTATGATTTTTTTATGGGTTCAAATTGTGGTTATGATTTTTTAATGGTTTTTTTATGGGTCGGTTTGGATATGGTTTTGGGCATGGTATTTTGTAAAAAAAACATAAATGGAAATCGTAAAAGAAATCGAAAAAAAAAACGTAAAAAAAACGTAAGAAAAATCGTAAATGCCTCCAAGGTCCCCAGAATCTGGTTTTCAGCTAAAAACTCGAGAAATGTTCGATGTTTTTATGATTTTGCTAGAGTTTCTCTAGGAAAATCGTAAAAAAATAGTAAAAAAATCGTAAAACAATCGTTAAAAAAACGTAAAAAAATGGAAAAAAAATCGTAAATGCTTCCAAGGTCCCCAGACTGTAGTTTTCAGCTAAAAACTCGAGAAATTTTCGATTTTTTTATGATTTTGCTAGAGTTTCTCTAGGAAAATCGTAAAAAAATCGTAAAAAAATCGTAAATGCTTCCAAGGTCCCCAGACTCTAGTTTTCAGCTAAAAACTCGAGAAATTTTCGATTTTCTTACGATTTTTTTACGATTTTCCTAGAATTTCCTCTTCCCTGAAGTCTTTTCCACCAGAAAATTTGATTTTTACAGAGAAACTCTAGCAAAACCATAAAAAAAACACAAGTCATTTTCCCATCCACAAACAAATCATAAAAAAAAACGTATTCAAAACCATAAAAAAATCATAAGTCATTTTCTCAACCATAAAAAAATCATATCTGCAAATCATAAAAAAATCATTTAAAAAAAAAACGTAAAACAAATTATTTGCCAAAAATGGCATCCTAGAGGATTTAAGAAGTCTGAATCTTAAAATGAATCTTAGGGATTCTCAAACATCCAAACTGTATCCATTCTATTCCGCATGGCTGCAGATGAGTCACTTAGACCTCGTTGTGAGCATAGCCTTCCTGGGCTTCCGAGAGAGGTATGAGTTCGATTCAAAACTCGTTGGGGACAACAGAAAATCATTAAAAATTGGAAAAGGATCGTTTTTACCATACCAAAAATATGACATCATATGACATCATATGACCCATTCTGTTGCAGCATCTTTGACGCAAAGCCAGGTGTACATGCCCTGGATGATCCAACCCAGGTGTACATGCCCTGGATGATCCAGTGATCGAACATGATGATAATCGAACATGATGATAGGATGTAAACTAAAACACGGGCATAAGAAAAGAAACTCTGATTCAAATATAATCAGGTCTATGTATACATACGACATATATACATAGATATACATATATATATAAGTAAATTGGCCTCAGGGTAGGAGTAGCTTATCATGATTTATCATGTGTATTTAAATGTCTTTAAAATGTCCCTGGTTTCCCCGCTGAAATCTCATGAACTTTGGTCCAAGAATTTGCTTGTTTCCAATCCCATGAATCCCCATGAATTTGGCTGAAATCCCATGAAATCCCATGAAATTTGTGGGGAAAATTCAGTCTTGTGGCGCCACAAAGCTATGAAAATTCTGGGTTAAAATCCAATTATAGTTCCAATTTACATGGTTAAAAACATTCTGAATCCCTATTTTTGGGGTTTAAATTCCGACTAATTAATTACAGTAAATTCACCATTTTTGTGGCTTTGAAATCCACTTCTGGTTTCAAATCCCATGAATCCCAAGTTTGTGTGGATTAAAGTCTCCCTTTCTATTCCACCATGTTCGAAAGTTAACATCTTCATTCCCTGTTACTCAAAATCCTGAAGTCATCACCAACTTTTCTACGGAAAATCCCAAGAAAATCGGAGATCTCCCATCTCCAAACCAGGCGCGACGTCGCGCTCGGGCTCCACCGGCGCAGGTTTGGGGGGCGCGTTGACTTCGGGCGCCACCACGTTGGGGAAGGCGTAGGCCTGAAGCAACACACAACGGGCACCTGGATAGTCATAACCTTGTAATCCGTAGAATGTTGTGTGTTTATATCATGTTCATATAAGGAAATATCATGTTCATATGTGAAGAATATATACATTATATATATAATGAAATATAATGATGAAACATATACCTGTTTATATGTGTTGAATATATATACATATATATATATATAATGAAATATAATGATGAAACATATACCTGTTTATATGTGTTGAATATATATACATATATATATGTAATGAAATATAATCTTCATAGAATGCTGTAGAATGATACCCATATTTCACAGATGCCGGAGACAACTCAGGCGTTGGCCCACCTTGGAGTGATGCGAATAGCAGGGCGGACTGCCACTTGGATGATCTATATGTAGACCACATATACCTATAGATAATTGTAGCTGCAGTATAGAAATATACAAGTATACAATGATGTATATTATATAATGTCTATACATGTCTATACGTATGTGTGTTTAACCTCATGTTTCTTCGTTTTCTCCCCACTTCGGTTGGTTGTGACATAATTTGTCATCCCAACTTCAACAAATGGTTGCTTCAAGCCCCTTCAAAGCTTCACAAAACACTTGACAACTCAAATATCTCAAATGCCTAAAACAAAAATGCGCTTGTCTATGCTTGTCTGAATATTGGGTGAGAGTACCTCTAAAGCAATTGGATAATCATTGTTTCCCCTATTGAAATGGCCATACCCATGTCATGAGAACCATACCTGACCTAAGCACCGCTTCAGGGTGCGGTGATAGCATAGGCCTACCAAAGAAGCGCTGGTTGTCACCCTGGGTCTAAGAGTTCATCTATGCAGAAAAAAAAGACATAAAATGGTTCCAAAATTCAGAAAATCAAGGAAATTTGTTCCATAAAACTCATAATGTTGGAAGATTTCCCCAAATGATGGGACCCCAACCCACAGCCCCTGCCTTGGGCGGCGAATGATGGTGGGAGTCCATGCCCGTGTCCTCGACCTCCTCGCTGATACGCAGCAAACCGGTGCATTTCAGGATGCAGAAGGCGGAGCCGCTCAGCACCCCGGACCACAGGCAGACCATGAGGATCAAAATTCTGGGCACGGGCGTGGACCAGGGGTTGCATGAGGATTTTTAAGGGCATGGAGAAGTTTGGGACAAATCCCACGTGCCATGCCACATAGCCCTGTTTTTGGTGGTGAATAATCAGTGAATGTCCTCTTTTTGTTCGTCTCTGGTGGTTTTAACACGTTGTAACCTTGCGATGCGTCAACCCAAAAGGAATAAAACCCCGGTGTTTTCTACAGGGTCCTCAAAATATCTCAAAATGTCGTGGTACTGTAGATCCGATCATACACTTTGACCCAAAACCATGGGGAAATATGCATACCACCGTTAGCCAACCCGATAAATAAATGTGTTGGTGAAATGGTCAACCAAAAAGGGTCGACTATGGTTGCAAGCCACTTGCGGTTGATTGGGTTCCCATTAATTCGCAAAATACAATGTTTGATTGTTTTTATTGGGCTGCGCATCATGGTTAGTGGGTATATCAATGATGGCTAATGATTTTCCCATAGAGTTATTGGTTCTGCCTGCTTTACAACGGAATCCCAAAACAAAAAAGATACATTTAAAAAAAATAAATATGAAAATGACGGAGGATCACGTTTCAATCTTTTTGGGTGTTATTCTATGTCGACCCCGGACTAAAGCCCTGCAATTGTACTAGTAAATGAATTCACTCTTTAGGGGTAACCCGCCTATTGAACCAACCAGGGTCGATTCATCCAAGGGAATCAAACATGGGTAGGGAATCCCTCTTTCCTACTATTTTCCCATTAAAGTGGAACTATTTTCCTACTATTTTCCTACTATTTTACCATTAAAACCTACATGTTCTAAATCCCACTTTGCGAACGAAGCAAAGAACTGAACGAACGAAGAGTAAAAATCACGAGCTAAGTATATGGACGTCCAGTCCTGGACCGGCCTAGTGATACAACCGCTACCCTCTGGTTATGTCAACATAGCAATTGAAAATGGCCCAGTCGAAATGTCGTGGATTTTCCCATGAAACATGGTGATTTTCCATAGCAAAATGTTAGTTCACCAGAGGGTAATACATTCTATCCTGGATTACTTGTTGCCTGTGGCGCCTGTCCCGTGGCGCCAAGCGTCATGTTGGATCCGATCATGGTGCACCCAATGCCCCCGATGCAGGCGGTACTGCCCTCGGCGGCCTTACAGCTCCAACCACTGCCGTTAAAGTAGTCCACGCCCTGCGCAACGAGCTTGGTTGAGTATTGTATTTTTAAGGCACAGCTTGGGATTTGAAAATGATTTTGTGAGTTGAAGAGTTGAAGATGAAATGTTGCGCAAACTCTTGTAAAAGAGGTTTCAGCTGCTGAAATGGGGTGGAATCAAACCAATGGTAACTTGGCCCGAAAATTGCCTTCAAGGATGACTTCTATTGGTTGATGAGGGTTCTCAAGATTGGATTGTGATAATCCCCATGACTCCACTACTCAATTTCGAGAGCAGAGGTTTCCTATAGGGAGACCCCTTAAATCATCCAAACTTGACCAAAATTTCGTCAGCCATGGTGATGACTGGGGATCCCCCATTTCAGATCTTTTTTTTCGAAAGCCCCAGCCCTTGATTCAGTCAGAATGCTCCATCAAGGTTCATTGCTAGATGCAAATGACCAACATACATCAACATTGCTGGTTGGTGGTGAAAAAACCATCTTGAAAAATATGAGTTCGTCAATGGGAAGGATGACATCCCATATATGAAATGGAAAATTTCAAAAATGTTTGAAACCACCAACCAGCATTAATATGGATATGGAGAATGGCCAATGGCCCATTGAAAACATGTATATATCCTCTTATTAGCCTCAGGCTCTGCATCTCGAAGAGTCCCGAGTTTGCCCATCTTGGGGAGTTCCCACTACTAACCAGAAGTATCCAGAACAGTTCCGTCTCGTCCAAAGCCTTGTGAGATTTCCATGATTTGCTACATCAGGAAAAACTATCACCAACCGTTCAACCTTATTATGGTGATCTGGTTGAACCGGCAGGTTTCTTCCAGGTGTCAATCCACAAGACATGGCCAGCCTTGCCCCAGTCAAAGAAGGCTGCAGCCAGCACGCCCCAAATGCCGCAGAAACCGTGCACCGGACCTTTTGGAGGTATCCAAGCTGACCAAGAAAACCATGGTTTCACCCATGTTTGGGGGATGGAAAACATCCCGTCAATTTCCTTGGAAAATGGGAGTGGATCAAGACTCTTATGGAATACCGTATTGGATCTGAACAGCTTTTCTTCCCTCAACTAGCTTGATAAGGGGTTCATTTTGGTAAAATCAGCCGGATATTTGCATCCATGACGGTTTCCACTTTAATGAAACAGAAAAGGATGGGTATTCTCATGCTAAAAACTGAAAATCCCAGATTAACCAGGTGGTATAACCCAATGCAATAGCCATTGAGAATCATCAGTTCTCAATGATATCGTCAATTTCTTGTGATTCGAAACTATCACCGATGAAATCTCCAATGTTGGCTGCATTTTATCACCGTCTTTACCAGGTCTTCCACCAGAAACACCCAGGGGCGACCCAGCGTTTTTCAAAGCACAGCCGTGCCACATGCATCCACTGGGTCATCAATCTTAAGCTTCACCAAGAGCATGGAGGCGGCCTGGATGGGTGTTTTTTCGTCGCGCCAGTTAATCAGTGGTAGCCAATGGTCGCCAATTGATCATATTAATTAGCCCAGAAAAAAAAAAAAAAACTAATATTAGCCCCATATTAATTAGCCAATAATATGGGGCTAATTAATATGATCAATAATATTATGGGCTATAATTATTAGCCAATAATACTAGCCAATAATATCAGCCAATGGTCACTATATGTCACTATGATATTGGTAACACATGGCAAATATGATCAATGTGCACATGAAATGCACCAAAAATTGGTCACCCAGAACCGACTGGTTCGCCATATATGCCATATGTTGATAGGGAGAATGATAAATCCGATATGATTCAGTGGTAGGCCTCCCCATGTGGCTTGCCCGCATTTGCCCGCTGCCTGGTACACGAAGCCACCCAAGAGACCTGTCAACACGGCGCTGCCGCACTCCATGTTGGCACAGCCAGCTGTGATGGAGACCAGACCTCCCAGGGCTGTCCCAGGGCCCATGGATCCACGGAATCGATCCAAACGGTTAAAACCATGGTTTAATTAGGGGGTAGCCTCCAAATAGTCACTTTAGATGGTACTAGTACATGGTAGCCTCCCAATTCAACAGCCGTTAGTTTGGGGTTTATGAATATTTATTCATCCAGGCTTGACATTATGGGTTTGTCTGAAAATAGGGTATATTCCCAATGAAATAGCCATTTATTTTAGGGATAATGATCAGCAAAACCATTGGCTTTAGGGGTTTTCTCTATTTTCAGACACACCCTTATCCACTTTAGATGGTACCTAAATGGTAGCCTCCCAATTCAACAGCCGTTAATCCAGGCTTGACATTATCAAGAATCCTAAGATTGATCCAACGTTGACCGAATTTTGAACATTAAACTGAACACCTCCAGGAGCCACAACTGAAAAGATCCAACAGGTTCCACCACTGGTGCGACTGCTGGACTGCTGGGTCCATCTCTTTTTCGAGGGTAAAAGGTGGTGGCTACATTCATGTACCTTGCATTAAATCCTAGGTGAGTAATAATGATAAGTATCTTATTGGGTCCCAAGAAATATGCAGTAAAGTTTGAGATGAGACCCAAGTATTTCGAGGGTGGCGACAGTGACTAACTTGTCTTTCTTTTGTGGAAACTGTGCCCATAGGAAAATGTAGATCCGAGAATTGAACCATAATGATCTTGAGGTTTGCAGCGAAACCTTGTCTTTCACGAGTTTGTGCCTGCAGGCTCTCAAGTTTGGGACCCTGTGGGAAGCCTTGTGAGC